TCCCTCCCTCCCTCCATCCATCCATCCAGTTAAAGAGAACATTGAAAGACATACCGGGTTTGATGCTCCCATGTTACAACCACGGTCGACCATTTCTTTGGCTGGCTCTGTCTTTTTCTTGTACATTACCTATGGAGAATAACATCAAATAATATTAATATGGAATACAGAAAATATAAAAATTGGAATAGAATGGAAATGTATATTGCGTATGCAGTTGAACCTCTATAAAAAGGGCACCGAAGGGTCAGGAAAAAGTGTCCTTAATATAGCGATCGGGTCTATGAAACATATTGATGTATAATGATTTTACCGGGACATAAATATATGTAATAGAGGTGTCTGTCATAAAGAAATGCCCGTAATATAGAGATGCGCGTAATATAGAGGTGTCTGTAATATAGAGGTGTCCGTAATATAGAGATGCGCGTAATATAGAGGTGTCTGTAATATAGAGGTGTCCGTAATATAGAGATGTCCGTAACATTGAGATGTCCGTAATATAGAGATGTCCGTAATATAGAGGTATCCGTAATATAGAGGTGTCCGTAATATAGAGATGTCCGTAGTATAGAGGTATCCGTAATATAGAGGTGTCCGTAATGTAGAGGTGTCCGTAATATAGAGATGTCCGTAATATAGAGGTGTCCGTAATATAGAGGTGTCCGTAATATAGAGGTGTCCGTAATATAGAGGTGTCCGTAATATAGAGATGTCCGTAGTATAGAGGTGCCCGTGATATAGAGGTGTCCGTAATATAGAGGTGTCCGTAATATATGTGTCCGAAATATAGAAGTATCCGTATATAAGAGATTCCACTGAATGTAATTCCCAAAGAAAATATCAGATAAGCACGCAGAGACATGGTACCCATGCTGATTTAGTTAACACATTGAGTCTAGGAGGCGTCTAGTTATGAAACTAAAAAAATGACAACTCACCAAGAAGACGACAAAGACGATGACGCAAATAAGAATCAATACAAAGATAACGATAAGAGCAATCTGCCATCCTTCCAAACCGTCATCGTCATCTTCCGGGGCTGGAGGTGGAGGTGGAGGACGTGTGGGGACCTCAGAGTTGACGTTTACACTATAAAGATTCAATCCCTTTAAGGTGCCTGTGGAATTGGCTTCCAAAAGAGCGTTGGTTACTAGAAGAAAATAGAGACAATTGATAAATTATTGGTTGGTTTATTATGGCCATTCGAAAAACCCGAAAACGTAGGGAACGAAACCCAACACTGTCCCGAGACAGCGCCTAGTACACAGAAATGACTAGAATCAGGGTTCGTGCTACTATGAAATCGATCTGGTCGGAAAAGATTGAAAATCTGAAAGTCAACCATGTGCAACTCCTTGAAATTTCATTTTTGGGTCCTTGTATACTCCTTGAATAGTCCTTGAATTTTAAGTGGTTACCTCAGCACGAACCCTGTAGAATTCTCCAATAAAAGGCAAGATCAAAACAAACGTACAAAAAAGGGAACCGGAAATACCCTTCCACGTTCAGAGACCCGTTGAAATGCTCATTACAGGGTGTCCATTTTTATTACGAAAATACGATATTTAGCATACTTGCCTTATGCAGACAGTACAGATAATTAAAAACAAATTTTACTTTATAGGTGCATGATGGGTACCGGGTAGTCCCAACTCTTTTCCCTAAATTTGGTGCATAAACCTCATACTTCACGTTTCTAACCTATTCCTAGTAGGTCATTGGGAAGTTGATATATATGTTTACTTACTGATATTATTGTAGGAAGTATTTGGTGGAATGCTGGCGATTTCTTTGTCAACGGTTACAATCATCACTGCTATTATACTTCCATTGATAAACTCCTTCACCCGACACTCTTTTACAGATCCATTCTTGAACTTTGCTGTAATGACTGGACAAATGGCATCTTCACATTCTTTGGCTTTACTTTTGAATCCCTAAATGAAAACGTAATTAACATTACTTTATAATCATTAAAACAAAACATTCATGTCTCATTTTCTTGAGTATGATTTCTTTATCTCTTGGCGACCCTCTAAGAATAACTATTAAAAACGAATGGTAGCTTGCGTAATAATTCCTGGGATCGATTCCAGTGTCTGTGCTACTAGGTGTCCTCTGTGTGCGGGTATAACTTTGTTTGTGAGTCTTAGTTTGCAGATTTAGCAAAGCGGTTCGCATATGAATAAGAACAATGACAAGAATAAAAACATTTGCTTACATCTGAATTATTGTTTTTAAGATCTTGAGTAAAAATGCCAAAAAGTCGTGCGGAAATTGTTGCTTTAGCGTAAGGAAGTTTTGCTTTGGTTGTTGGCATTTCTCCAGTTGGACTTTGTGTAGTGGAATTTGAACCTGCGGATAAAAGCGAATACTAGGTCAAGAACCGTCATAAAATAAAGGCGGTGTTACGACTCAAGGTAATGCTCCTTACAAAAGAAATTGCATAGTTGCTGCAATGGTTGCAAGAGGTAAGGAATCGAGTTAATGACTTAGGCAACAATTTTTAGACATTGGCTAATGTCAGTCAGTACTACTGGTCTTGTCTCGCATTCTTTATTTCATGACAGCAGTACTACTTTTTCTCCGTTGGTAGTTGACGTTATTCATTGTCGTTTAGCTACTCTTATAAATAATCTTTTCAGTTCCTAAATAATCCATACTATTGTTTTGAAATTAAATTCATGAAATAATTTTCTCATTCTCTCATACCTCCAGGGGTCTGGGTACTTCCACTGGAAGATGAAGAGGTTGTAGTTGGCTGAATTGCTCCTAAAGAATAAGAGAGATATATATGAGAATTATTGCCGAAGATAATTAAAATAATGCTTATTAAGTAACCTGAGGATTTAAGTTGATTCCATAATTGTGATTCACCATATGCATGCTTTTAAACCAACCTGCTGAAGTTGCAGCTGTTGTTCCACCGTCTCCTCCAGTTGTAGTAGCTGTGGTGCTACCACCTGAAACCGCTGTGGTAGATGCGGTGCTGCTTCCTGACCCAGCCGTGGTAGAAGTAGTGCTACCGCCTGCTCCTGCCGTGGTAGATGCGGTGCTATCGACTGACCCAGCCGTGTTAGATGCGGTGCTACCGGCAGCTCCTGTCGTAGTAGATGCGGTGGTAGTGCCTGACCCAGCAGTGTTAGATGCGGTGCTACCGCCTGACCCAGTTGTGGTAGAAGTGGTTCCATTACTTGCTCCAGTTGTGGTAGAAGTGGTTCCATTACTTGCTCCAGCTGTGGTAGAAGTGGTTCCATTGCTTGCTCCAGCTGTGGTAGGTGTGGCTCCACCACCCGGGGTAGAAGTAGTAGAAGATGTAGTGGTCGTCGGTGTTCCACTTCCTGCGGTCGTTGTAGTTGCCTGTGCACCTGCAGTAGCTGTAGGTGTCGGAGAAGGGCTTGGTGTGAGAGAGTACGATATAGATGGACTGCATGCTGTGGTGTTTCCTGTCATGTTCGCGGAGCTTCCATTCACGGTGCTATTATCATTACAGATAGGAGCTGATGAATTGGATGTTGTGGTATTGGTGGCTCTCACTGCGGGAAAAAGTATTAAAAAACACTGTTATTTCTTGTAAGGTTTGTAGGGTTTGTTACTCTTCGTTAATTCGTTACCAAATCAATACAAAAGCTTTATCTCAAAAAATTGGATTTTCTTTTGGAAACATTGGAAGGCCTATATTTTGAGCGCCAGAAGTGTCGGTGGACATCCGAGCATACTACTAAGATAATGACTTAAGGTGCGATTACACGGAACAAATTTCTCTTCAACTTGTCTCGCAACAGCGTTGCGACACAAGTTGCAAGAGTGTCTACACGGTGCAACGGATACCCAATCGTTGCCGAAAGTAGGAACGAATTCTACTTTTCGCAACGATTTGCTGTAGGTAACACGCTGAAATACTCAACGCAATTACCCCTTGTAATCGCGCCTTTAAAATACAACTTTTTGATGAAAAGAAGAAGAAAAATCTAAGACGACGAAAATGACGAAGATGGAGGAGAACTAGGAGACTTCGACAAAAATGATGAAGTAGAGCTCGATATATAGCTGATAAACGAATGCAAGAAGACAAAATTGAAAAATAATTTCGGATACTCGATCGACATTAAAATTGAAATTGTATGTATAATATGTCTAATAATGTATTTGGAAATATTAGTTTAGCTTTTGAACCGGACTCTCTCTCTTTTTATTCTGATCCCTTCAATGAATCGTACATAAATAATTTGCACGCCACGAAGTTTTAAATATGGTTGCTATCCTATACCTCATATTTTTACTAAGGCTTTTCTCAAAAATTCATCGAACACGGCTGAATAATAATAATGGGACAAGTAAATTTTGTTGCGTTTCTTGCGATTTTTTCAGCATAAGATTGCAGGTCATGTACCCAAGGAAGATATGAATTTTACAAAAAATTAATCGACAAGAAATTCGTTAGACCGCTAATTGAAAACTCTAAAAAACTTTTTTTAAATTTTGAATAATCAACATTGTATTTCAAGATTTTAGTCATTGTGTTTTTTAAGTTCAGTCATCGTTTTTCAAGATTTTAGTCTTTGCTTTCCAAGATTTTTGTAGAGAAAAATTGAAAAAAAAAAAAAAAAATGGAGTGAGAAAAGATAGAATTATTACCATTACTGCAACAGAAAAATTGGAAATTAGGCGTTTAGTTTTACATCACCTTGGTAGAATTTTTTTTTTTTCTTACGCGATAAAAATTTATGAATAGAAAACTTTTTTCCGTTTCTTGTTGGGAATAACTTATATTTATAACCTTAAGTACCACACAAAAATTTTATTTCTTGTGTGTGCGTGTGTCTCTCATTTTCTTATTCCTTTTAACTCGTTTTCCGCAAAAACTATACTTTAATTCTAAATCTGTTTTAACAAAGATAGGGAAGTAACACCTTTGAATTAAAGAATTTAATGAATAACACTTTTATCTTTGAACGTATGTAGGTCATTTTTAAGCTGGATTTTTGTTCTGACCTGAATTCATGTTGAATGCAGTTCATAGGCCTGCAATGAATCATGATTCAAAACTTTCGATCTCCTTGGAGATTTTCGTTTCGGCAAAAAATACCGGCTTGGGCGACCACTACGATCAATAATTAACTAGATAAATGCTAAAGTTTTAAATTCTCTGGGGATTTCAGTATTATTTTACTCAAGAAAAAGAGCTTCATTCCAGAGAGAAAATCATGTAAAAACTATGTTTGTGGATTGATAATAATTATCAATATTTTCGCAACGCTCAGTCTTGATTTGACTTTCGAAGAGTTCACAAACTTTAAAATTAAAACCCCTTTTCTTTTTTAACTTTGGTTTTTTTTCTTTATCAACTCAGATTCTCATTCCATGTTTACAGCTATTTTATATTTCTTTCTTCTTGAGATTCCCAAAGGTTTTGAAGCTTTTCGTCTTTCCTTCCCTAGCTGCAGCGGAAATCATTCGATGATGCTTTAAAGTTATTAGCTATTTATGACATTATAGCTTATTATGAATATTTTTTGACTGATAATTTTTTAAGTCTTTCGTTTGTTTAAGTAATTTTTTAACAAAAATAAAAAATATAAAAATTGTGGACTGAAAGTGTGGTGAGTTTTAAAACTGCGAAGAATCAATCGTTAACTCCCTTAACTTTTAAAGACTATAAATAAAAATAAAACTTTTTACCTTCTAATTTGTAAAAATTGATGAACTTTATATCTTCTTTTGTAAATTTTATTTTAAAAAATATTCATGATTTAGTTGTCCTAAGTAAATCGTTTTTGGCTAAGGAAAAACTTGAAAATATGTGGTGCAGTTTTAAATACGCGAAGAATTAATCAAAACTTCGTAACTTAAAAAAACTAAATAAAAGTAAAAATAGATTAATACCGAAACTTCTCTCTTACCTTCTAAATCGTAAATATTAATAAACTTTTTATCTTCTCTTGTAAATTTTGTTTTTAAAAAAATCATTTAGTTTTCTTAAGTAAACCGTCTTTGACTAAGGGAAAACATCCAGTTGAAGAAAAGTTCAACTCGAAAAAATGTTATGCAGTTTTAAATAAGCGAAGAATTAATCAAAGCTTTGTAAATTAAAAAAATAAGAAATAAAAGTAAAAATAAATTAATAAATGTTTTTACCTTCTATCAGCAGAAAACAAAATACCAGTGCGCAGACCGAGATGAAAACTTGACTCATTTTGCCGTTTAAGATGAAACGTCTCCAAGAAAATAAACTTTGTTAAAAGTTGTTTGGGAGTTCTAACGGTTGTACAAACTTGAGAGGCTAATGAATCATATCGTAGTAGTGATGTCTTTAAGGTAAGACTTGAAGGCACTGAACGATAGTTGGAGCCAATCAGCTCTCACTATCCTTTAATTGAAAAGACGTCAACTACCTGGATTCTTTTACGTCAGTTTAGTTATTCATCAAGTTGCGAGAAACATCGTCATTTTTGACTTTGATCAAAGTGACTTCCTAACGTTTTTCTAAAATTTATAACTTAAAAATCTTACAATTTTGAGCAAACCACGAATTTCAGTTAAATCTTTCACGATAGTCTCACTTCGGGCCTCCACCCTTTTCATAAACTTTCAGAAACTTTCATAATTATTAGGTTTTCTATTTTGGCGCGTGTGTATTTGGTCTCCATGGTTGCATTTCTCTGTTAATATGATGGAATGTTCTAGGTTCAGTCCACTAGCTTCATATGGATCTCAACTTTGACGAATTTAGCTCGTTTACGTAGRTATAGAAAATTTCCCGTGATACAAGAAAGGTTGCTACTTAAGTGTTTTTATTATGACGCAATAGTTTCTTCGTCTGACGATCCTATTTTCTTCTCCTCCTGTTCTAGATCCCGACAAATCCTAACGTATTCTACGGCAACCTTAATCTATTTTATCTAATTCCACAAAGATTCCTAGATCTCTCGGCCTCCCTTGGGCTTGTAATTGAACCTGTAGATATCACATTCTGTCACAACATTTCTCAAGAAAAATCCCAAAATATATATGTTAGGAGAATTGCATTTATGACAATATCAGCGATTTCCTGATAATATACGCATACTTCCACTTCTAACTTCGGACTTAAAATCAGCTTCATATAAATAAAACCCTCCCATTTCTAGACTAGTATAGCTTCATTTCACCAATATGTACGAAAGCATCTTTATTATTCAGACAATAGATCACAAAGCTGAATTCATATAGCCTGAGACTCTGCTACTGTAATGCACGATGCCAGTTTTGCTCAGAAACGTATGTGCAACAGCCTTGTGGAACACAGGTTTTGAGGGATGATACGTGGTAAAGCTTTCAGACTAACTTAAATTTCCACAAGTTTCAGCTGAACGATCAGAAAGGAACTGTACTTCAATTTTTTAGCGAAATCTTCCTGTCAAGGGTGTTAATATGGTTAGAATATGTTTTTATTTTAAACACAAATGACAGGTGCAGTAGTTAGCCCCAAACTTTTAAGCCTTGAATTTCTCAAGAGTGAATTTGTCTTACTAAAGGTGTGATTCACTGGAGCAATTTTCTCTACAACTTGTCTTGCAACAGCGTTGCGACACACATTGCAAGAGTGTTTACACGCTGCAACAGAGACGCAATCGTTGCCAAAAATAGAAACGAATTCTACTTTTGGCACTTATTGCTGCAACTTGTCTCATTTTGCAACATTTTTTTTCGAAATATGCTGTAGGTTATAACACACTGCATGCAATGCTCCAGGCAATTTGTGTCGAACGCCGTTGCGAGAAACAAGTTGCAGTCGTGCCTTAAATTACCAACTGACTTCAAGCGAGAAAATCAGGTTTGATCTGTTTGTATGTCAATGAAATTTCTGAGATTGGAAATGCAAGGAAATTCGTCTTTTATGTGCAAATTGTCTCCAAAGTATATTTGAGTTAACTTCTTTCTTTTGGCTCATTTGGGAAAACATTTTCTTTGTAAAAGCGAGTTTTATGACTTTATTACTTTATTTTGCTTTCCTTTTAAAGATTAAATTCGTTTCTCAAAAACAATATTTCAGACTAAATATTTGCATATTGGAATCATATTTTCACTGTTGGATTGAACTTTTTGAAATTTGCCTCATGGGGAAAAATGATTTTGTAACTTTATTTCTTTACTTTCCTTATCTTTCAAGAAGATAAAATTCATTTCTCATGGAAAATAACTCAGATGGAACATTCACTGTTGGATTAAAATTTTGGGGGTCGATCGGATCTAAATACAAACATGTCAATCCAAAGTTTAGGAGAATAGGGCGAGGATAATTACGCTAAAAGCTTGGAGTACCTGTTGTGAACCCCAATATCGGTATGTCGCTCGTTATTTCAATCATTTTCGTCTATTAAAAAAGGGAGAGATGCAGTGCCACTACCAGACAGAACAGACAAAAAAAATTTATTTTTCTTTTTTATTGGTTGAAACTAAAGTCATATCATTTTACATAGTTCTACTTAACGAATCTATAAAACATTCAATTAGGCTTTACAAAAGAAAGTCTCTATTCCTCGTTAATAATTTCTAAGCCTAGAAGCCCATTCAATATGAATAACTACTATAATCCACTAAGGCAAGGAGCCGTATCATTTTCAAAGCGCTGTAATTTCCAAGTCTCTCCACTTTACCACTACACAAAAACTTCACTCAATAATAATAATCTTTAAGCTGATCGAATGTAATTCATTATTTATACTGCCTGTTTTAAATAAAAACGATTTTCCCTGTTGACTCATGACTTCGTTAAAGCGGTTAGCTTTCCCTCTCGCACTCAGTATTTGAAACTCTTATTTGCCGTAAAAATATAAAAATAGCCGGTGAATAATGAATAAGGAAATTCACGGCCCTCGTTCCGTGATCAAATTGGAATTTAGGAGTGGATTTTTACTGAGGGAGAACCGGAGAACTCAAAGAAAAACCATTGAAGCATGACGCACATGCAGAGAAGGCTTACTGTGCGCAAGGAGACACTAACCGGGACCACTTAAAAAAAGTTAACCAATCACGATACGAGTGTGAAAACGAAGGAATCAAACTTAAGTCAAATTTGAACCAATCAGGATCAAGCAATAAAGATAGATATCTGAGAAAATAACTTAGTTGTTAAGAATAGTAATGAATTTATGGAATTAACAAGAATGAAAGATTTTGGTACTGATTTTGCTCTCTAAACGTTGTTCAAACGGACATCCCGGTTAGAGTATCCGCATAGTAAGACATGAAGTCGTTTATTCATCGGATATCCACGAGCATCGTTTAACAATGCAGAACTTATAGCACTAAGGTTACAGCTAATAGAAGGGGTTTCCGTATGTGTTAGAAAGGAAAGGAAAAGTTTCATTCCATGTTATGATTGAATAAACTCTGCACTGAAAAACAGTAGTCATTGAAGCACTGACCACCATTTGATGTCAACCAGAAAAAATCCTATTGAAAACTTGCGATTCAGCTGATGAACATTCCGCACGAGACAGGAAATGACAAGTGTAGCGAAAGCCAACAATATTGTAGAATTCCCCGGCTATTCTTTTCCTGTTCTGTTAGAAATTTTCACTGCTCTCATTATATGCAAGGAAAC